GATGTGTATAAGAGACAGACTTATGTCTTTGGAAAAAAAACATTTCATCAGGCAGAATGAAATCATCACAACTACCAGACACGCTAACAATCTCTCCTAAAAAAAAAAACTTTGTGTCTTAGTCACCCTTACCAATCCATTGTGCAATTCACGGTATAAAATACTTTCGTTATTCAATGATCACAATCTACTGTTGCCTTTGAACAACAACAACAATAATAATAATAATATAAATAAAAAGAAAAATCTCAATTTATGGAAAACAGTACTCGATGCACTGTAGGTACACAACGATAAGTGTTAAAATGTTCGACTACTGAATTTTCCAGCAACATGCAATCTTCAGTGTATCAATCTATCCGTGTAAAGATAAAGTATATTATTATGTTATAAATATTTATATTTCATTTATTTAAAGAAGGACCCACTGTTGAAAGCTTTGCTTGTCGTAGTTTTTTTCTTTTCCACCAATTTGTAACTTTGTTACAAATTTGTAATGTCAAAAGATGTGAAATGAATTGATTGATTGATATCAATTAACCAACTCAAGAAGTATCAACCTCGGATTTGCAGTGAACTGCTGTTTGAAAGTTTACATCAAAATAAATATTAATACAGTACTACCATGGAAGTTCCATGATACATGTGGAATACTGTAAATAAATACTACCCTCAGCTACTTTTGTAAATCGTCACATAACTTCAAAATATATTATTGTTGATATCATTTGATTCCAATAGGGGATGTCCCCATGTATGTGGGCTGATATACATTCTACTCGATGGAATAAGTTTACAATTCAGTTTTCCTCTTTACTGATAAGTGACACAAGAGCTTCATCCATTAATTCATCATCAATAGGACACGGACTTGCTTGATTGCTGACAGCGTTCATGGCAGCTAGAGATTTTGCAGGTAAAACAAGTGGTGAGGTGACTTGTGTGAGAGGTGACGAGGCCATTATGCCCAGTGGTGACTGTACTATCTTGCTTCTAGGCGAGGGAGGGCTAGGCTCTGTTTGTGTGTCACTGGAAGGATTTCCAGTCTGAGTTACCATTATAACTACATGTTTCTCCTGGGTCTCAGTGTCAGATTTCTCTGTAAGGTCATCAATGGTCAGTTCACTGTCACTCTCTTCATCACCTCCAAGAATTGAACTCGTATGTTTATTCTTTTTCTGGTTTACTGTTTCATCGTTTTCTTTGCCCGTTGTTAAATTTATCTCCATTACTTCAGGCAGACTTTTGGCAACTGCCTGAACAGGTTTCGATGCCAGTTGATCAGAAATAACATTAAAAATTGGGTTGTTTGTCTGTGATGCAATATTTGAAAATGAGACAGAATGCTTAGGACTTGCTTCTTGTGGCTTTATGCTTGTCACTACGGCTGAACTAGGAACCTTAATCTGTGTTCCTGGTGATCCTGATGACTTGCCTAACAATTCCTGAATTTCATTCTTCTGAATTACATCTACACCAATGGTCTTCTGTGACAAATCTTTCTTAGTTTTTGCATCTGTATTTAGCCTGACATGTTTAATTGTCTCATTTTGCAGTACCTTCCTTTTGATTGTTGTTTTACATTCTTCTGTTTCCTCTTTAATTTTACTTGAGTCAGATTTTTCATTATTAAGATATTCTGAGGTGTCATTTTTGTCTGTTTTTGTTTCACCTTGTGTGTCAAGATTGCATGCTGCAGACAACATACTGCTCATAACAGTAACTTTGTCATATTTATGGGTATTGTTTGTTTTTGCTGAGGTTTCTTCCGAAATTGAAGTCTTACCGTTTATACTACTATCGATGCTGGTGGTGGTGGTACTACTACTACTACTACTACTACTACTACTACTACTACTACTACTACTACTACTACTACTACTGTGATTACTGCTTGTTCTTAATGCGGTTTGCTTTCTGCTTCCATCAGGAGTAACGATATGTCGCGTTTGGTGAGAGATTGTTATCTGTGAACAGACCTTACTTGTACCTCCAAGAGCTTTGTTTTTAGGGGAACCAGTTGGTTTAGGAGATCTGCTTAGAATGTTAGGTTTTCTTGGTAGAGAGTTTGGTGAACCACTTGCTTTAATAAGAGATTTCATTGGACTTGATGGTTTCTGAACACTTACTGTTTTACATGGAGAATTTATTTTCTGTTGCACCTTAACAGATGTTGGTGATGCTATTTTATTTGAAGGGCTTGGTACAGATCTTGACAAATTTGATGACACTTTGCTCTGTTTTGGGCTTGGAGATGGTTTACCAGTTACTGCGGAAACTTTATTGTTTGGGGTGACTGTTTTTGTTCTATTAGTTGGCTTACTGGCACAGTATGACTTTGAGAGAACTACTGAACCAACTTTCTGCTTTTGTGTCCTAATAACAGTTGGTACTTTAGCAGCAAGTATGTTAGCCTTTTTATCTACTTCCAGCAGTGGAGATGAAACCACAGTATCTTGTCTTGATACAGGTGAATCGTGTGGCTTATCAGATTTAGAATTAGCTAGCTTTCGAACTTCTTTTACATCCTCTGCTGAAGTGTCATGATCTTCTTCCTGAATTTGTTTCTGCGCTTTCATCTGTAAAACCTTAACAATAGAATTGATATTTTTGGATCGAAAAGGAGGCTTGTTCTTTTTCAAAGAAGCCGCACTAGCGGAAATTGTTGATCCCGGAATAGTGGAAGTAAGCGGTCGTGGAGAAGCCACATTTGATAAATTTGATGGTGCTACTGTCAATGGAGGTGGTTTTGATACTGCTATTTTTGTTGTAGAAATTGGTTTTGAGAAGCTAACAACTGGTGTTGATTTAATGTTACTTGTACTACTGGACATTGGTTTATTGGTGACTTCTGCAGATCCAGAGGATGGCTTGTCTGACACATTTGCTGGCACTGTCACTGATGCTGTCTTATGCTGCCTTTGTGTGATGGTCTTAAAACTGGTGGTT